CAATTTAATTTAATATATTCACGAGAAGAAACTTCAACGTCAACATCTGCATCAGCATATTTAAAGATCTACTGATGAATCAACCCAATGAAGGATGATGCAACAAAGTCGCATGCAGATGTTTATTCATTAAAACTCTACAAACCACGAACCCATTGATCGACGACGACAGAGGATTACTATAAAGATATGAACACTGGTTTCGAAGGAGAAAAGGTATGGAAGAAACACTACTAAAGGGAGAATAACTTGAAACTGACCGATGATAGAATCTAATGGAGAGATTTAGTCGCAGTGTCCAGGAATATGACCCTGAAGCCTTACACAACTGAGGGAAATGAGGAAAGTAATCAGAAGTGGAGGATGAATATCAATCGAATCATGCCACCGTCTTGATTAAGTCCCTCAAATTACGGAGACTAAACGACTACTTAGTACACACACACACATATACACACACACACATAAACACACATGCATCTCATTTAATAGTTACATGACAGCTACACAAGCTACCGCCCATGGTGGTCGAGTTAATAAGACTGCATGAATCTGACCACAGTGCTATTAACAGCTGCCATTCTCAGTGTACAGCGAATCGATTCAGAGTGATTGCTGTTGATATTGTGGAAGTCGGTGATCATTTACTCCCGGTTGATCTATCGAAAGAATACGGTGGACGATGATGAATAGTAGACATGGCTAAGACGAAATTCTAATTTCTGGATCCGTTTTTTTTCGTTTTTTCTCAGTTAAAAACACGACAAAATGTGCTTCAGAAAATTATCATAAGTCAAAGTCAAAAGAAGGGAGATAATACCGTATGATAATAAAAGGAAGGACAGATACACATTACAATGTGTATCTTGATATTACATCTTGATATGGTATTACAATATCTGTATCTTGATATGGTATTACAATCATAAAGTTCTATTATGTAATATTAGATCTCTTGTCAGTATAGCAGAAAGGACCAATAACCACGACAAAAGAGCTTCGAGAATAATCCGGAGCATTCGCCTGATCAGATTAGCCGATTCCTTCCCGCACACAATGGATGGTAGGGACTGAATGCTCGTCCCATTCATTTTATGATGTAAAATCGGGATTTACGTAGTCTTTCTGCACGCAAATTCTTTCTTATACCAAAAATACGTGGGTTGAACATACGTGCGGTGGAGAAAGAGAACTGCACACAAGTACGTGAAGAAAAGGAAATCGAGAACAGAAAATAACAACCGACCGCGAAAACATTTGGTAATAGCAACCGCCTCCAACAATATGAAAATAATGCACTGAAAAGTTCTCAGTTGCGGACATCCATTTAAATTGTCTCTGTATGGTGATGGAAATTTGCATATTTCATGAGAGCAAAAGAGGATGCATATCATTCCAGTGGTCACTTTATGCACTTCCTTCGGTGGTGAGTGGTTCTCGAATTTCGGTTGCAAATTACATAAGTTGGACCCAATTTTCTCCAGCTACACTACATTAGATAAGGTTTCATATGAGTCATAAATGGAATCCATATATGGTCTCTTGCGTGAAGCTTACCAGAATGTATGTGGCGAAATTAAGCCTGAAAATACTTAACGGCTTTCTCAGTCTTTCAGAGGCACTCCTTTATGAGTGCTTTAGGCGATGAATTTCGGATGTTAACTGCAATCACGGATGACATTTCCTATTGCTGATTATTTCGATATTGTAACACAATTCCTATGTTCCGTCATTTCAGGTCAATGACTTCAGTCATGGGCTGTGCAATTTGTCAGGCCGATCTGTCCGGGAATATTTGGTTGCTGACCAAATACCGCCTCCACTATGTACTATCATAAAATGCCACCGAATGGTCACTTTATCATCCTGGGAGATGGCCCTTCGCAGTGCAACAACTGCTCCCCGAATGAATGGTACAGGCTTGCTGTTTCAGTAATATGGTACCCGGTAACGGCATATTCCAGGTGCAGTTCTTAGTTCACAATATCCCTCAACTATATCCCGCATTACTTCATCCTGAACTGTTCTCCTGTGAAAGGGAACTTGTGAAGGGAACATTTATTTTTTCTGGTTATGAGAGACATCCATGTGCGTTGACTTATGATATTCCATCATTCATCTTTAGGATAACTACCCGCATTTTCATTTCCCAATTTTTAAGAACAGTTGTCACCCCAATGAGTATCAATCACTGCTGGAAGAATGATTGAATTGTTCCATGGAAGAAACTGAATTATCAGAAGGATCAACTGATCACTCGATATCACTTTCAACATTGACATTATCGTTGATTCTCTAAGTACCTCAACCTTTATGCTATTTCAGTTTCACAGTACAAGTCTGTTCAGCGCGATATCTGCATAAGTGTCGTTACGGCACTGCCTAGAGTCTTATCTTCCTTAACTTTGTATGGATTAGAATAATGCTCTCACCATTCCTAGCTAGCAATTCTTAGTAGACGTATGATAAAGTGGGGTGATACGTCGAACTTTTCATAACGCAACTCGCATGACGCGTTAATTTTATTCGATGTCAACATGCAGTTTGGTAGTATCTCGGACGTTATGTGTGTGGTAGAGGGTATCGGGGTTACTTTCATTTGGGGACGGGTTTACTATATGGTATTAGTTTAACTTTTTTCGAAATTTTCATGACTAACTGGCCTAAATGAGTTTTTATGAACACGCGTCATGTCGCGCATCACTTTTTCATCACATCTTAGCTCACGCATCTCTTTTCAATATTGCAGTAGCGCCTCAATCATTTGTTAAATCCCTTCATAAAAGGAAGTTTATTAAAATGATTCAAAAAAAATTGCCAACTGCGATTTTGTTTTAGAATGTAATTTCTAAGAAGGTTACCCCCATAACTTTGGAATGGCTGAAAGAGCTGAGAAGAAATTGGAGTGGAACGAAGAAGGATGTGAACTTTTTGCTAAAATTTGGATACAAAGGTTGAATCACAACACTTATTTAAAGTATTAGAACAACTGTCCAGGAGTGACTGGCAGTTATCCTAATACTTCGAATAAGGATTGTGATTCAATATTTCATCAAAATTTTTTGACTATAGTCATTATCTCTGATGCATGCCATGATGATTCGAATCTGCTGTATACAGCTAAACAAACATTACCTCGCTTATGTTCGTATATAAAGCATGATTTCAGGCGACACGTGCAAGATTTTCTGAGGGATCGTACAGTTATCGGCTTTTTTAGAATCGAAGTTCTTCTTCTTACTCCTAGGCATCTGGACCCTTCATAATGGATGTTAAAAGTAGTGGAAATTCTGAATGTGTTGGACCATGTTCCAGCGGTATGACAAGTTTGGGTGCGGTACCTGCACCTATTCGTAAACGACGTTTCAGCAGTGCAAAAATCCAACCGGTTAGTTTCTCTTTTATCCTTTTCAATTTAATGTTTTGTTCGCTCTTTACTGCTTATTCCGTTTCTGTTCCAGCAGTAAGTTCTACAATATGACGGTACACATAACAAATTTTGTGGAGGGTTTCTAGCTGTAGGAAATTTTTTCTTAACCTACAGATGAAATTAGTTTTGGCGATGGACAGATTCAACGATTATGCATTTAACATCATGCTTTTTTTGCGTGGCATCTGATTTCAAGATGCAAATGTTGGCGGCCTTCAAGGTCGATCTTCGTCACGAAGTGACCAGGTATCAATTCAGATTATTTCAGATTTGCAATTTCAGACTCGAGTAAAACGGGTAATGCAAAGTGATGACGAGATTGGCCGTATGGTTGCATCTGTACCAGTAGCAATTGGTCGAGCTATGGAGCATTTTGCGGAGAAACTACTTGAAACTGCTGCGCAGTGTGTTTTATATTCGACGTCGCGCACTCTGTCCCCATCACATATGTAACTTTTTAGATCCATTATACCATTAGATTCTAATAGTTTTGTTGTATGTGATAAATTTAGTAATGATTCCCAGCTAGTGATCCGCGAAAACTGAAACATGGTTCGCGAGGGCGTCGACGCGGTGAGTAGAAAACAGACAGAGGTTATTCTAATCAATGTTTGATAAGCTAATACGTTAGAAATTTTGATTGAAGTTCATTTTCATATTAACACTTTATTATTTCTGAACCTTGTAATCCCTTCTACAAATAAAGAAGCCAAAGTGGTCGCTGGTTAAATAAAGGTTGGGAATTACTAGTCTAAATTGTAGCCATGAATTATTAAATTATTATGCAGCTAACACTTTGCGTAGTGGAAGTGTAAAAAAAGTAGATGCTGTCTACTAATTCAAAAGGGTTCTTGTTTAATTTCAGAAAACAGGCTGTAATGCAAACTCCGCACTTCAAGTTCTTGGAATCACTGGTTCGAGAAATACCTTTACCGCCATCAGCTGGACCTGAAGTGCACTGGAGAACTGATTTGGTCGAACAGCCTTCGTTTTCTGGTTTCTATCCGCCAGGTTATCGGTTTTGTTAGATTTATTTGTTTTCATTACATTTGGTCTAATGTTTGAAGCTGTGCCGCGATTTCTGTTTCTCTTATAAGAATATTATAGTTTTTCCATCTAATTCGAATCCCTGTTTGATTTTTTGTAAATATCATTCCCATATATTCTTTACCTATAATTTAGATTTTATTTAGGTCCTGCGACAGATCCTTCCTGCCATATGGGTATGTCGATGCTAGCAGCCCAAATAAGTTTGCCAAAATTGCCATCTAGTGGAAATCTGTTGAGTACTAAAAGAAGACAAAGTAATGGTGAACTGGATGGCAGCGAAACTAAACCGAAAAGAGGCCGGCCACGAAAAGTGAAAAGAGAGGAGAAGTACAGTGTTCTTGGTATTGAGATGTTAGTAGTAGTGAGGAACAAGATAGGGTTGGAATCTGACTTTATCAATTTTTCAATTTTGCAGAAAAATGCAAACTCATGGTCATAATCTTAAACGCTTAAAGGTGGTGTTACTGACTAATCATTTTTTTTTCAGGTGCGTTGATGAGGACGGTTTACTTTCAGATGACAAGTCTTTGGGTCGTGTCGAAGATATAAATACATTGTCAAACGGGATGGTGCTTAGTGATCGAGAGCTTATGCCGCCTCCTAATGTTTTACCAATACGTGTTCTTGCAGCTTCTACATTTACGGACAGTAAACGGAATTCATCATCAACGAGTTTACTTTCGTCATCTAAGATGAATAATAACAACGGTGAACAGAGGCAATCAACTGTCTAACAGTCAGATTATTTTGCGATGTCAACCCAGTCTCTATAATTTTGACTTTACAAACGTGTTTCCAAAAATGTTGCTGCTGTTACAAATTCCAAAATATCGCAATGATTTCATCTCATTTTGACTTCTCTTTTTGTATATTAATTATTGTACAGCAGTATCATTTTTCGTGATAAGATATTCGTATAGTTTGATCACGAAAGTAATTTCAAGAACTTTTTGAAAATTTAGATTAATGAGATCGAGAATTTCTTACTCAGCGATTGAGATGAGTTGTTATGATATGATTGGGATGGTTTGTAAAGTGTGGATATTTCTACAATTTTTTTTCAGTTTTTCTTTTTTTTCTTTGAAAAAATGAAATAGTCTTGTTTGTTATTGCTGAGCCTCGCTTTGGCTGGCCTGCCATACATCTTTGTTCCGTTTACTTGTCACTTTATTTGAATTGGTGTTTGTTCTTATTTCTGTTGATTGTTTACATTCGAGGTAGTATAAACGTGTTTGTTTATTCGTCTTTTATTCCATACTTAGTTTCGTGGCTTTTTTTTCATCCTCCAATCCTTGCGGTCCGTGAAGCATGCATATTTGAGCTTAATCCAGGATTTTATTTTTACGCTGGTTTAAATCATGTATAACAATTCAGTGGGTTGAATATATTGTTAAGTTTTTTAGTTTATAAACAGTTTAACACTATCAAGTTTCAAGCATGGAATGGTGAAGCTAAGGAAACGGCGATGAGTCATCAGTTCCACATTAAACTTGAGGTGGGGTTGGTATTAATTCCACAGTTTACAATTTCTTATTTCTAATTTTTTGGCCAGGAGGTGCAGCTTCGCATGGATGGGTTGTCAGTGGTGTACAACTTCAGTGCCTTCGATGAGAAGTACGCTTTTAATGATGAAGGCTTTTTTACCTACAGCAGTACAGAGCAGGTACGTTCAATGAGTAGACGGTCCAGGATGTTTTGGTCTTTGGTTATTTTGATGCTTTTTTAGATTAAAAAAAAAAACAAATCATGTCTTAGGTGTTCAGGAAATAAGCAGTAATAGGTCTTCCATCATTTTGATTCAGATCTTTCTAAATTTGCTGTAATTGCGTAATTTTTTGTTATATATGACACACGTGGCTTTTACTCTTCATAGTTGTGGCTGATAACTTACTGATAACTAACGCGGTGATCTGTGGTGATTGTTGTTACCGTGTTTTATGTGAACCAATGGATGAGGTAATTTTAATGAGGCTTTGGTATTCTGGATTAGCTAGTCACATTTGTTTCCAGAAGCGAGTTGAAGAACTTGCCAGAGAACAAGCTCGAAAATTCGTCGACGCTTATTTGGACAGTGTGGATGAGTATTCAGAATATGCGCCGACATTGTGTAGGACGCTTCACACTAGATTTGTTTGTCGATCTTTGAAGAAATTGGGAAAGTCATGCTCAGTAAGAAGTTGACATCCAGAGTTGAAATTGAGGTCTAGTGGGAAACAATAAGTATCACTTTCAAATAACGGGAACTTTTCTCGAAAACATGAAGTTAGAGAATAATTATACTGCTGAGAGGTCTCTTATTCATCAGATATAACATCCTTCACGAATATTGTATGATACAGAAGGTCGTGAATGATATGATTTGAGAAATGTTTAATTACATCAATTCTTGTTTGACGGATAATTGTAGCTAAAAAGATGTTGAAAGAAAATTCTGCTGTGTTATTTCAAATTTTATACTTTTTTTTCTTTTTATATTTTCAGCATCTGGATGCATCCAGGCCATGGTTCTGTTATTGGGGAATGCATAGTTTAAGACTTTTGGAAGCGTCGCTCGATGAAAATCTAACTTCCAGGTGCATCTTGTTAGAATATTCGTTAAGTGGATAATATTGATTCATATATAAATCCATATAAGTGATTTTTCATTATATATAAAAATAAAACCCACTGACCATAGAGCGTATATGATGATCTAATTTTGTTCATTAAAATATACTTCTTTGCAGCATTGTTCGCTTTTTGAAGACCTGTGAATGGCCTACTGGGGGATACGGAGGCGAGCAGTTTCTTTGGTTCATTTGACAGACATGTATGCGAGAACCCTTTTTTTACAAACACACTTTTCAACTATTAGTCATGAGAACATCTAGTGTGTTGAAAGTACTTGATTACTTGTTGTCATTTAGAGTTAAGGATTAAATGTTAAGGTGGCCCAGGACAATATCCACATTTGGCAACAACATATGGTGCAGTAATGGCATTAGTAAGCATTGGAACCGATGAAGCGCTTGCAAGTATTGACAGGTTCATATTATTTGTGATATCTATCCTTTCAAGTCATTCAGGTTTGTTTTTGAAAAGGGAAGCTCGACTTGATAATATTAATTTATAATGAATTCCTATGGACATTAGAGTTACTTCCGACTATAACAAGGTTTATGCTTGCAGTTTGTGCTAATATCATCAAATGAAATAATATATCATCTGTACTTTAGGAAAACTCTGAAAAATTTTCTACATTCTGTAAAACGTCCTGATGGTGGATTTGCACTACATATTGACGGTGAAGCTGATATACGAGGATCATACTGTGCCATTGCTGTTGCTTCTATTACAAATATTTTAGATGATCAGCTAAGGAAAGATGCAGATAGTTGGGTTATCAGGTTGTTTTTTCAAAAATTTATTTAATGATATAAATGTTACGGAATTGGTTTTTGAACGTAGTCTTACTAGCTTTTTATTTTCCCATCAACTTTACTTTTCTGGTCAAAAATTTTTTCCTCCAAATTAAAAGAAATTTCAGCTGTCAAACATATGAGGGTGGGTTCGGTGGCGAACGATGTTGTGAGGCACATGGTGGTTACACGTTTTGTGCGGTAGCTGCATTAATATTATTGGGAAAAAGTGCATTAATTCACGCATCATCACTGTACAGATGGCTTGCGCAAAAACAAATGAAATTTGAAGGAGGATTTCAAGTATGTCAATTCAAACTTAGAATTTTGATGGTTTTGATTGCCTGTAAAACTTGTTTGCAGATGAGTCTAATTTGACTTGAAAAAAGAATCGAAGCAGTTTGACGTGATCGTCCTCTATTAAGATTTTAAATGAAAGAGCTGTAATTAGAATTTTCAGAGATGAATTACAATTTTCAGAGATGTTGACTATGATTTCTCCTTTTTTTTTCAGGGCAGAACAAATAAATTGGTTGACGGTTGTTATAGCTTTTGGCTAGCTGCTGTGTTTCCAATATTAGAAGTTGCTCAACTTGCTATGGGGAACAAAATCTCGTCATCGTTTGATGGAAAAGCATTACAAGAATACATTCTAGTTGCTTGCCAGGATATCGAAAATGGTGGTTTACGGGACAAACCAGACAAGTTTATATTGCATATCTTGTAATTTGTGTATGGAACTCAATAGGTCTAGTTTAGTCCGAATCGATTAATAGAAACATATGACTAGAAAATTTCATTTTAATGATCATCACTAGTCAGTTAGCCATCTCTTTAGTATTTAGGCGATTGGTCCAGTCGAGATTTAAGATTTTCAGGAAATTAAAAATTTTGGAGTTTTGGAGAAGCACAACCTCAGAAGTTGTGACGAGCAACAGATGCTTTGAATCCAGAACTTTTGAAATAGTACGACGATTACATGTATTTTTCAATTTTAAATTAAATCATATGATGTTGAAGGTCGAGCGATTTATACCACACATGTTACGTTTTGAGTGGGCTTTCTGTTGCGCAGTATTATACAACGGATGCTATTGTTGGTGGCGAAATTAATCGTTTGGTATGAATTTGACTTATGGTTGTCAACGAAGTCGCTTTCAATTATGATTTAGAAGTAGCACCATTTAAACCAAACTGAAATGTGGTAGGACTCATGTCTTAGACATCAGTCGCAAGGATATTGCAATGTGTGTAAGTCTATATAATACTATCCCATGGACTTGTGACATACGGGGTGAAGATTTGATTCGCTTTACATCCAGCTTATTGAATAAGTAGTTTCTTAAAAAGAGAAGTTAACTCAATATTTATTATAGGCAAGATTGTCGCCAGTATATAACATCTGCGAGAATGCCGAAAGAAAGGCACGAGAATATTTTGGAAAACCAAAAATAATCTGATAAAGAGTTGAATTTAAGCTTGTGGAAGCTTTTGGAAGCCATCTCATTGCAAACTTAATATTTGGATTTTATTGAATCCCACACGAACACCTGACTTCTTTATCATTGTGTCGTTCCTTGATATTTCAATTTTCTTTTTACTGGTATGGTCATTGTTGAGGCTTACAAAAAATCTCTCTTTAAATAGCATGTTAGGAATTTGAATTTGATTAACTTCCTTACACAGTTTAGCTGCAATTCCTTTGAAATTACTTTAAATAAGGGAAATAAATGGCCTTATCATTTTATTGATGACTAAGTGTAGAGGATGTGCAGCGATCAGGGAAAATACGTGATGTAGGGATTCGATAGGTTTTTTAATCCAGAATTTTGCGAAGTATCAAAGTATCATTTGCAATGTTTAAGGGTCTATGTATTTTAAGCTCTTTTGATGGGGAGCTCTTGGATAGTACTATTTGAGAAGAATGATTGCTTGGTATTTAGATAGTAGTATGCCACTACACTTCAGAAATATCAATTTTTTGGGAATATTTCGGAAATATCGTCTGTCAGTTTTTCTGAAGAGGGATGCCATCTGCAATGTAATTCCACATGCAGATTAGATCTGATAACATTGTTGATTTCACCAATTAGAGCATTATCAGTTTAATCGAAGATTGCGAGCTTATTGTAGTGTTTTCCACTCTCATCTCTTGATAAAATAGATCTTCATGATTTATTACTGCTATTTTGTTGTCTGTCATTGTATTTCCTCATCAAATGTTATTTTTTAATTGAAAAGAAGCTATCTTGTTCAGTTCTTGTTAAAGCTTTTGTTTTATTAAAACTTCTAAAAGTTTGTAATTCGGCAAATTTCGATTGGTTATACTCGAAAAGTGAATTTACTTTGTTGCTTTTTTAATTGTTTTTATTTTCTGTTGGGACAGAAACTTCATTATTTCCTTAGATATCTTGCGAAAGTTCACTTCTGATTCGAAATTTTCATGTCTTTGAGTTTCTCTTTAGTAGTTAATTTCATTTATAGATCAGTCTAAGCGTTATAATTTATAATATTCCTATCCTCTCATCATAAAAACATACTGTACGGCATAACGAAGTTATTGATCATAACAAGGAACCTGTGGTTGGTAGCTGAGCATCGCCGAAAAAGCTTCGATAGCGTGCAGGTGATAAAGCGATTGTTGCTCGGTTTTTTTTTAATGTTCTAGTCTCTATATGAAGAGGATTTTAGATTCGTATTGTTTGTATGTTTTTAGCGAGAGGGAGTTTCATGTTTTGTGGTTTTACTGAAAACAGCTTTTTTATTTAAAGGTTGAATAAATGACATCAATAGCAACTGCTGGACCTATAGTTAGGCATTCACCTGAAACAAAATGGTACGATTATGGAGATCTGGAATGTGCTGAGCAATTAACCTCTAATTTCAATTATCTTAATAGCATCGAGGAACAAGCAGAGATTTTGCTGAAAAGAGACTGTGAATTGCAGTGGCAGAGTATGTTTACACATATTCTTGTTCAAAAGTTAAAGAAGATTTAATATTTTGAATTCTTCTTTGCGTGGTTAGATTCAGGTTTATGTAACTGCATTTTTGCCTAATGAATCTCATCCTGTTTTCTCCTTTTCCTGTTTTTCTTCTAAGATATTTGCCGTTTTTACTAGTTAGAACGTTCAGTCTTTCATGCAAAGCCATAATGCACTGAAATTTATGCTTCTTGATAGATTTTTTTATTGCAAGTCTTTTATAATCCTCGTTAAGAATAATTTTTAATTTACTGTTCATTTTAATTGCCGAATAAGTCAAATGGATAATCGAGAAATCAAAAAAAAATCCTTACTATAAAATCAAGAGTAAAATCAGGCAATCAAGAAAAAGATCCTTGCTTTTCAATATTCCGTTAGTTTTAATTCGTTTTTTTTTTTTCGAAATGAAGGTGAATTGCAGTGCAAAGTAAAAAAAACATGACTGAGACAGCATGGCTGAGCACAATTCTGACGCGTGGTACTGCCAATGATAAAGTAACTGCAATGCAAATATTGACACAACGACATCCAGTTCATTCCCTTCCACATGTCGCTGCATTGGTTAATACCGTTGCCAAGAAAAATACAAGAGAGGCATTTTCTGTACTCGGTCAGTTCACTGCTTATCGTTAATTTATTTTGTCTGGTATTTTCATGCATCCATGTTTTTATTTTCATGCATCCATGTTTTCATGTGCAGTGTGGGAATAACTTTGTTTTCAGTCACTTTTATAGTCTTTCAGGCTTGCTAAAAGACTTATTTATCAATGAATTATTACCGCCAACGCGAAAATTGATCCCCTTTGCAGCGGTCGGTCATTTTTGTTTGTTCCAGTTTTTGTATTAATTGTTAAAGACTTTGTTTTCTCGTGAATTAAGAAATTTCAGAGACCAGTAGATAAAATAAATTTATCATCGTTGGACAAGGATTTCAATTTGAAAAAGAAACTTATACTCTGGAAATTTGAGTCGGACTTGAAAGCTGTATACGAGAAATTTATCGTTGCAATAGAGGTACATATTTGTTGATGTTTAAACGTTACATCTAGAAATAACTGAGACCGGCATTAATCAGGAAATAAAATCATTATTTGTTATTCTAGCGACTGGCTGGAGAAAATATAGAGAAATTAGGCATATTGTCTTGCCGCTACGCCCTGGAACTCTTGATAGCACGTGCCGAGCAAGAACAGGTATATATTTGCATGTTATTTATCTAATAAAGTATTTCATGTTTGGCTACACCGAATTTTGATCTGAAAATAAGTTCTCTCTATCATCAGGCTCTGGATTCCTTTTTTGTAAGAGGACGTACTTTTTGATTAAAACCAGTTTTAATTTCCAGCGATTAAAGTGGATTTCTGCTTTTTTATTATTAGGATTTTCTTTACTATTAGAATTTGCTATCTCTGCTTATCAACAAACTCGGACATCCGAATAAAACATTGGCTACACGTGTTTGTGGCTATCTGCTGCAGTTGACCAGAAAACAACCGCTGATGCGTCACATCGTTGTTAAAGAAGTGGAGCGACTTATCTACCGAAAGTTGGTTTTTATGGCTGACCCTTTATATTTTCACCTTTGGAGTTGTGTTTAGTTTTCTGAGCTTCAAACAAAAATTAGGGAACTGCTGGTTCTCTTAATATGTCAGGTTGACTTGTTAGTATCTGCAGGAATATTTCGTGCTGCACACAGCTTCATGCAGTCTCATTTTTGTCTCAAATGAATCTGCATGGTTGTGACCCAACGCTTGCGTCAACACTGCTTAATATCTATATAGGATTGTTTCGAATGTTAGTTTTGAATAAGAAAATGGATGACAAAATATTGAATGTTTTACTGTTGGCTACAAATCGAGCTTTCTCATTTGCGAAAGGTTTTATTTTACTGTGAAATTTAATTTTCCTTTTCTTCAGTTAGTCACATTTGAATTTGCTCCACAAAAGCAGAGCAGTAATTTACGATTTAACATGTAGCTTTTTCAAACTGTTACATTATAAGCATATTATATTCGGATGTTTTATATAATTTGGCGCTGAAAGAGCAATGTTACTTATTTGTCTCGTGTCCATGATATTGAAGGATTGTAAAGCATTGGTGGAAATGTTTTAGTATGTGACTGAAAACTTTGGCTGTCTCAGATATTGTTTAAATCAACAGCCCTAACATATTTTTAAAATGGAATTTCAGGTGATGTAGATAAGTTGATCAAAGAAATCGACACCTTATACAAAATTTTGCACCAATCAAACTTCTCGACTGCGCTGCAGACATTGAAATTATTGTATCAGCTTCTTATAGCAAGGTTCTTTGTTTTTCAGATTCATTAGCTTTATCTTATATCTTCCTACACACTTTTGCTTTGATAATTTGATTTGGTGATGCAATCAGTGGGTTACTGTCGGCATTTGATGATGACAGAAAACATCAAGTCGAAAATCCTCTAGATGGGTTAGCTAATTCGACAGACTAATCCACCACTGAAAATATTATCAGTGATCGGTGGCTGTAAAGAGATAGTGGTGCTATTGACGGAATCATGCAAAGCTTACATTTTGTAAATATAATTTATTTGTTCTGTTTACTTATAGTGAAGGAATTTCGGATCGTTTTTATGCCGCTCTTTACCGACGTATATTGGATCTTCAACATGGCACAAATGTAGATAGGCCGTTGTTTTCATTGTTATATCGAGCTTTATCTTCCGATGTTGTTGAACATAGAGTTATTGCATTCATCAAGCGTCTTCTGCAGGTTTGCGCTTCTCATGCTAAAGCACCTGAAATTTGGTTTGGTTTTGGTTGAATAAAAATTCTTCCGAACCTCTATAAATCGAATGAATCTGTCAGAACATTTTAAATACTCGTTTAGAGTTTGGTTAATGCCATCCAGCTGAAGGTAAAATTGGCTTTAAAAACTTGGTTTCAAAATAAATATTGAACTCTGCAGACAAATAATGCAAACTTAACCATCATTGATGTGATGTGTGAGGTTTTTCCAATTTTCAAGTCATATAATTCTTGTTCTTCAAAGAAATGCAGTTTTTATTAATTAAAATGTTTTTTCCCGAAAAAAATCTTGGAAATTCAATCTTTTCAGCTGTCTCTCTGCCGGAATGCTTCATTTGCTGCTGCAACGTTAATTTTGATTTCGCGATTGACAGAGAGGCGACCGTCATTATTAATAATTAAGAAGGCTGCTGATGTAAGTGATATGCTTGCCACTACTTTCGTTCCATATGCTTCTAATTATGCGATATCGCATCCTTGAAATTACTCTTCAGTATGATACAGTGTTTGCTCATAGTATTAAATGAAATTTCTATTTTTGACGAATTGAATTAAATATGTATTCTTTTACTGAAATCTTCATATGCTGAATAGGAGTGCTTTTCTCAGATTTTCGGCTCCTTGTAATTTTTTCTTTCGTTAACTAAGTGGTGTTGTTCTAGGTTACAAAATTCAGTAAGGATATGAAGGCGGAAGTTATTGATGATGATGAGGAAGTGTATCATGATTTCGATCCTGCCACAGAAGCAGTAACTACCGAGATTCCAGTGATCTCAGCATTTGAAAGTAATGAGAAATTAATTAGTGATATCAAGCCGTGTGAAAAGAAGCTCTTTGGATGGATGCACAAAAACAATATTGGTATTAATCATTTCCCTTTTAGTGTTTCATAAAGTCATCAGTGATTTACGAAAGTTCATTCTGTGGTTTCGTCACTCACAATTTATGATGTAGTTACTGACTTCTTTGAAATTGTTGCTCTAGTTACATTTAAAATTCCGTATTTTAGTGGTACGAAGTGATGCTACAACATACGACCCAGTGGTTAGGAATCCACTGTTCTCTCGTGCTGATAAAAGTATTGCTGCAGAACTGATACTATTAACCATGCATTATCATCCTTCAGTTGCTGTGTTTGCGTCGAATCTGCTTAATGTAAGTGAGAAATGTAAAATTGACTTTCAACACCTTTTCTAAAAGGAGATTTAGATTTCATTTTTCTTTCTTCTTAATAGACATAATCAGTACTGAATTGATGACGTTTTTATTCGACTGAAAAATAATTTTTTTTCCTTCTGAGTTCTGACATTAATTGGTTACTGTAGGGCATATCAATACGATATGATAGTGATCCGTTGCTCGATTTTACGCAAATGCGCTTCCTTGATCGTTTCGTATTTCGGAATCCCAAAATAAAAAATACGAATGAGAAAGTTATGCGACGCAAAGTCTACGATCCTCATGGTGTTAGGAAGCTACCAGTTATATCGAAGGTAATTTGGCATTATATCAATTTCTAACCTGTTGTTATCAGAATGCTTCATGCTCTTAGTTTAGAATTTTTCTGAACTTTAGGAATATGCTGCAAAAAGCAGAAATGAAATACCAATCGATGAAAGGTTTTTACACCGTTATGCATCCATGAAAATGCGGATGAGGGAAGAAAACGAAGGCGAAGCTGTTCATGATGATGATGATATTGAAAGCATCAACTCCGATGAGTTTAATATGTTGCTAGGTAAATAATTTGTACACTTCTTTCTGTTTTACAGATGTTTGAAGACTTCTGACATGATGACATATGATTTCGTAGCTGGTGAAAGACGCATAGCTTATTCTTTGAAAAATCAGATTTCAAAAATTAAGGAGTCTTTCAATGTTTTTAGACCGTTTCGAGCCAGGTGAACGAAGAGAAGTATTTGATGTTGACTTCAGTCAAGAATTCAGTGCTGAAAAGAGGAAGCAGAAGAAAGAAGTTAGAGGCCGAAAGCGGCCACTTGAAAATGATACTGATGAGGATGAAGAGGATGATATGGAAAAAGAGAATATGATGGATGTTGATGAGGATGAGGAGCTTGAAGAGTGGAGTGAGAAAGATATTAAGGTTAAAGTAAATATTGATGGAGTAGTAATGCAGCAATGCAGCAAATTTTTCCTTATAGAGAAAAATTTCATCTTTCAACAATTTTCAAGTGTTAAAACGCGTTCTCAAAAAAAAAAAAAAAAACACCTTCTCATTGATTAGATTATTATTATTAGGCGCCCTTTATTCGCATCTATTCGACTAAGGAAATAAATCCAAAGCATATTGGGATTAATATTAAAGGAAGAATCAAATATTCTGGAGGAAGAAGAATCAAGTAGAGACGAATTTGTTGAACCGACAAAGGGAACTTATGATAGTGATGATTCTGATGATTTTACTCAACAATTCAGTTATGTGGAAGATGCTGCAATAAGTGCTGATAAGGTCTGTTTCGACACAATTGTCGGATGGTATTTAAAAAAAAGTCTCGTGAGAATTAGTGAGTGAGTTGTTCGGGAAAAAGTGGGGCTGTAGAATCACTTGATGTTGCTTTATTGATTCGGTTCAGATTTTCAAAGTTAGCTTGATTTTCTGTTACTGAGTCTTTGTGTCCGCTATTATACTTTTGGAGTACTATTTTTCCCTGCATTTTCATTCCTGTTAGGCAATTAGTTTTTCAAGTTTTCCTTTAAAGGAAGTTTTGCTTTAATTTTTAAATGGAAAACTAAAGTTGTAATTTTATTTTTCGTCAAGTTTTAATATTCTTTCAAGTTCACGGCGATGTTGGAAGAAGAAAATGATTCACAGAAAAAGGAATCGAAAAGGAAGATTAAAAAGATCCATGGATTTAAGGAACGGAAGGATCGGTAAATTCCAATGAAATCAAAGTAGCATGGAGCTGTTATTTGTTACTTGTTACCGTTTTATGAACTTTGTGTTTTAGTTTTTAGCTCCTACAAAGAATCATACACTTGTTTGAAAGTCTATCCATGCATCTCATATTTTAGCTCTGCATTCTATCCCAAAAGCATAAGTAATTTTGTAATGATTAATGCAGTAATGCTGTGAATAATATTCCTTGCTCTGAGCATAAATATAATTGCATGGGGCGTAGAGCTCACTCAAACGTTACAACTTCTAAATAGTTTTATGTTATTTCGTACTGTTTTTGATGAAAGGCTCATATGTTGTTTGTTCAGTGTTTGCAAACTTGAATATTTGATGAATCACTCATGCTTGTTCATCACCGCGTCGCCGCGCAATAACGATCAAATTTTAAGTTATTTTGCGATATTCTTCTTTTCTATATAATCTAAAGCTGGAAAGCTAATAGTAAGCCCAGAGAGCAAATGTCCCTAATGATATTTCTCATGTACTATCGAAGATCAGTTACTTTTGATTCAGAATCGCAAAATAATGGTCTGAAGGCTAATGGTATAGTACTATTGCGACATTAAATCCAAAATCAAGCGCCAACGCTCAGCATAGGGATTCAATTTACAATATTTTGGCGGGAAGTGGTATATCTGAATCACTCAATATAGTTGGATAAACTATTTGATTTCTTAAATATTTGATTACCGAATACTACTGGCAATGTCAGACGTTTCAATATACCTATATGTAAATGTTGAAAAGGGGTAATCAAATATTGGCTGCAGTTGTGCCATCCTAACACCAAAAAAAGCACGTGGTCTTACTCTCAGAAATCAGACGTTGGGAAACGATATTGCGTCACAGCTTCTGTCTTTTGTAGTTCCATTACTGTAGCATGTTCTAATCTCGAATAGCTTTTGGATGCATTTTCTTAATGAGTTATAGTAATTTTGATTACGAAGTTTAACTATTAGTAATTAAATTCAATGTTATGTCAGTTTGGCTTTTTAGACTTCGGCTCTTCCGTCCTGATTCATGAGTACTTTCAAATGGTTTAAAAATTAAGTCGGGGGATTAACTGGATCTCAATTTTACCAGTCAAAATCAATACATTCTACTTTTCTTCATTTCTTTAAGCAAATGTTTAATTTCTTTTACACCTGATGCTTGACTGTGCAGAGTAATATTAACAAGCTGTTGGTCAGAAAACTCAGAGTTGAATGATCGACTTGAGTGTTATTGTGAATGACCACTGAGAAATGTATAAGACATCCGGATATCTGGAAGACATATCTCGAAGAGATTTGTTTAAACATCTTTCCGTATTAGAGCATTTATTCACTTGAAATCTAATAATTTACGTGAAATTTTGATCCGATGTCGTCCACTTTCATGTGTCTTTTTTTCATCATTCTCAACTGATCGAAATCACTTACTCTGGCTAAATGAAATATGTCGAATGGTATTCTGGTTTAAAGTCAGACAACTTTTAAATGTAAATTTTTGGACATTTTTCCTCACCCTCAGTTCGTAAGTGTGTGACGTAAATACGTCTACGTCAGTCAGTTTAGAGGATGATAGAAAGTCTTCGAAGCACTTTTAAACATTCGAGCATTGGAAAAAATGGAAGATTCAATGTAGGGTTTTCCGCACCACTTGGGAAGGTATTTCTGACAATCCGGTGAGCATCTTTAGACTAAGTGGTTGGTAATGCATAAATACAAGTACCATTCAGAAAGATTTCTCGTGTAAAATTAAGAACCACAATTTAAAATCAACATTAATGTATTTTTAGGTACTAAAAATTTGCACGGTAAGAAAGAAAAGTTTGGAAGCAACGGGTCGTTTAGTTAGCTTGGCGAATGATCGGGAGGAGATTTCTAGTGTCACATTAACTTGTCAACTTTAGATAGTGGATGACTGATGGAAAATGAAAAATTGCATCTTTCATTCGAAAAAGTTTTTTGATGCCCGTTATATAACCATTCTTCCGAATGAAACGTTTCCATCTGAAGTGTGAGTGGTATTTTTTTTTCAAGACCAGATGAAATTTTGAAGGAACATGCTATTTTTGATTTTTATCCTCTACCCAATCTTCTTATACCTTCCTTTAACCCAATCAATGGAAAGATCAGTCGAAGAACCGAAGGTTATCTTGTTTAGAGGAAATGGTTTAATGCCATGAATTCATTGTTAAATCCACACTGATTTCTATGCTGGAATTTTGAAGCATCGAATTTGCTCCATCATCTATAATCATCTTTCACGTCAACATTCACGTGATGATTTGTTGCGAAGTGCTAAAAAAGTTTCATTCCTTCATTTTGCCTGTAACATTTTTCCGAATCGTTTCAGTATTTCAGGTCTCATTGAACTTTTGTTTCGTGTCACAACTCGAATAATATATCAGTTAAGGTTTATTGAGTATATATCCGGGAAAAAAGAAGTCCGGAAAATCGCCTGTTCTAGCAGTGTTTGCACAAAAAGAGCTTATAGAATAAATTTAGTTAAGAATTGATTCCAGAATATAATTGATAACATTAATTCGGAAAATTAATGAAGCAGGAAAAGTGCCAGAATCATTCTCAGTGGATTTTACGAGGAATTCTTTTGTAAGGAAGAAAAAACCCCATGCAATAATCTGATCTTTATCGTTTGGCCAAAAAAGATATCCAGCAGAAGTTTGGATATGTGCACTAAAAAACTGGGGCTAAATCAGTAAGTGTGGACATTGATTTCTCCAAGTGACCACCATTTGTTGAATGCCGATTAATAATACTAATGTCTCTTCTGAACTTCTTTATTCCTTACAACAAATGCTGATAATCAAAAGATAAAAATTTAGGTTGTTTTTTTTTAAGACTCGACTATACCATTTCAACATCTTCTTTATTCTTTACTCATGAATGCATTATCAGAATGAAGTATATACTATGCATGCATATACATTTCCATATGATGTATTTGCAGATCTAAAATTGGGCTGAAATCAAATTTAAATACTATTTCATCATTATTAATACAGTGAACCAGAGGACAGCTTCATAAGGAGTTAATTAGATCAACTTCGTTTCATTTTTTGCAACAGAAAATTCAAGCTCATCAAATCTTTATAGTACTAACAGATACAGTAGCAAGTAAAAATTGTTTATTCAGCATTTTCAGTTGCGATTGAACAAACGCTTTTATCGATTTAAAGTTCAGCGCACTGCGCGATATCCTACTTTTTTATTACTTAATTAGTTGTAATAAGTTCAAACATATCTCCTAATTGTGACGTACATTTTAAGTCTGAAATGATTCATGCAGTTCAACATAAATCTTTTGTTTGAATGCATCGACTGTTTCTTGAAAATGCTTCCCACTTCTTTTTTGCGTTGTTTATCCCACCACCATCGCTTCTCCTATTTTTTGGAAATTTTCTACAAAAGATTTCGTTGTCAAATTATCCGGAACGATGAATTTCGTTTTTTTTTCCCCATCAGTTTCGGAACTGTTTAGAAATAGACTGTAATCAAACGCGATGATCTTCAAGGAATGGAAGGTATCGAGAATCTTCTCCACCATTATTGGTACTACTTTGGTTTCCAAGGTATCAAATTCCATCTCTTAACAAAATTGTTTTTTTTCCTTTTTCGTATCAGCAGAAGGAAACTATTTTTAACTAAAATTGAATTGACTGATTTAGTTTGTATCCACTGTCATTTCTCATTCTGTACCTGTCTGCTAAATGAGCAAATGCGCCTTCAAAACGTATTTCGAATTTTTGATAATATCACTCACTATTATGGCTGTTGAAATTTTGCAGTAATATTGATTCGAACTTGTCTAGACATCTCATTCAAAACAAATTCTAATATCGGTTATGACTATCAAACGCTTTTATCCATTTCGAAAAAAATTATTTGAATTGTTTAAATTTAGCTGATTTATGAACTCTCTCTTTCATACTTGTTCTTTTGCAATAATAATTAGCTTATTGTTGAAATAATGACCGAAATGTCCTTTCAGAAACTGCATAATGGGCAAATATTTAGATGAAGCAGTCTAGCAGCACAAAAATTTGCAAGAATATACAAGTTTTAATTTATCTCTATCTCCAAAGAAATCTGATTACATCGGAAAGTTCACTTTCATTTAAAAAACTTTTTACTGTTACCATAATCGAATGATAACCTGTTAGATTTTGGAGAGAGTGACTCAGTCATTCTACCGTCAACTCAGAAGACACCTCCCTTCATGCAAAACTCATCACATCAAGCATTTCTAAATTTGTCTCGTTTGTTCTAGTTGAGTTAACGAATTACTAATGGTAACATCAATTTTATCAAAGACAATATATTATCAAACCATGTCATCAAATATTATATTATTATATTATCATATAGTATGGCAATATAATATTATTATATTACTATACCATTATATTACTGTATTATTGTATTATTGTATGTTGCTGTTATATTATCAAATTGTTATATTATCAAATCTTAATACGCAAATGACTGCAGTTATTGTCGCGAATTTCAATATCGCGAAATTCCAAATAAATAATAAAATAAATTTCTTATTCAAATTGTAAATGAATGTTAACAACATTTACATAGTTTTTCTCTCATGCTTAAAGTCATGAGTCAGTCATCCAATCTACTAAAAGAAATTTTCCCTTTGATGTTGAGATTTGTGCATATATGGTAACTGATTTGTAAAGGCTTTATCCCATGCAAAAAAATCTTGATACAATGGTGAGAAAGTTGTACATCAGATAAAATAATTTCTATGCAATTTTTTGTAAAGAAAACTGTTCTTATATGTAAATTTCTCTTGCACCCGTGAGAATACTGGATATATAATGATTGCTCCTCTTGACACACCCGATATATAAACCCTAAGAATTCCTAACAATGTTAATGTGAATGTAAAATTTTCTCCACGTCGCAGCTCAACGCTACTCAATACAATCCGGACTTATTTCCTCTCTATTTTTCGAATCTTTGCTTCAGTATTTCTCCCGTTGTTCTATGTTATTACTTTGAACTTCATTCTACTATAATCAGAATTACTTCTGATCTGGTTTTATTGTATTTGTTATTTGCACAACAATAGAGGATAACTATTATATTCCTCGAACACATAACCAATCGGTATTCAGTAAGTCACAATTTTTATAAAAAATAACTGCTTTACTACTAACAAGAACAGATACCTCATCTTCTCACTCTTCAAAAATCTTCCACGACAGTTATTGCCTGATCCTGGTAGGTGTTTACGGACTTCTAAAGAATTTTAAGATTAGAACTGAAAAATATGAATTTAAAGGGACATTAGTATGACATACTATAGCAGGACTTGTCCTTTTCGGATTTGAAGATAATACATTGCTAAATTAAGGTGTTATCAAGGATGGAATCGGTGTTGACAAGTTCAATTTACGAATTCATTACTATTCATGAGCTCTTTTAAGCATATCCAAAAAGATCGTACATAATGATTCAATATTTAATATGAGTTACCATAAAATCATCTTTTTATTAACAGGAAGAAGGGACCGAACTTTTTCTGGAAAGGCTGGAATTGTTTATTCCTTTTATAGAGTTGTGCAGGTTTTCGATTCCTATGTTATTCATACTATCGGATACTATTTCATCTATCCGTAACAACTGTCATCCTCCTTCGCTGGAATAATCTAAAAAGACTTAGAGCCAAATTAGGCATCGGAGATATTATCGCCATTATTATTCAAAACTTAAAAGTCTGATGACTGGCCAGATATCCAGCCAGACAAGAGATTAATACAACTCCAATAAAATTGAATTCAAAACAGTTCAGTGTAGAGACATATGATATTTGTCTAGCATTTCCTTAATTATCTGACATCATTGCTCTATTTACATCATATGCCTCTTTTTCTTTATTCATCCAATTACTTCCCTCCATATCTGTTCATATCTGATTATACTTTTTATCATTTACATCAGTTATCTGCTTTTCATACCCATATCAACTGATTATGGTAATCCAATATATTTTTCACTTTTGGTATCACGCAAGCATACGCTTTCCTGTATTAGATTGCTTTCTGTTTCGTTGAAATTCAAAGATTCGTTACTGCATGATATATATGAATGTTAACATTTTGATACAGCGACATGAATTTGAAATGTAAGCTTGAAATAGTTGCGCTTCCGTCCTTGACAAAAGTAGACATCTTTTGGAAACTGCCCATTCATATTTAAATATTATCCAGTTTTATGGATCATGTGGTCGAATAGCATCAGTAGTCTTCCTTATCTATCTTTCAAGACAAATCTGTACATTAATAGTAACATCAATGAGAATATCGGCGTCAATTTCGTCCGGTACATTGATTATTTTGCTTGAAAATTTCAATCAGATTTCAGGAATATCGTTGAAGGATCATAATATCTAACTGCTTTTTTCACGCTTAAAAAGAATTGATGTATTTGTTACTTTCATAGAGAAGGACACAGTTTGCTGTGTTGTACTTCACGCAATTTATTGTTCAAATTCAAATAGCTCAAAAACTTGTACTTTTTATCAGTGAGGAAGACAATTTTGTTGCTAACAGCTTGCTGGTACACAACACGCTTTCCTGAATTGTACGGGATTTTCATATACCAATAAGCAAAGGTTTGAGTAGAAAGTTGACTATATTCGTTATTTTACTAAACCGCTCTAAAAAAAAGACAGTTAGTAAACTTATTGTTGATAAAACCAAAACTGAAAGAATCAGGAAGATCTAGAAGAAAATTCCGATTTTTCTATCATTGCAAGAAATGTTTTTATTTTCTAATACATCCCCATTTCAGATTTTATTCGCTTCTACTTCCATATTTGTTTTATTACTTTTCTTCCTGAAAATGAAGAAAAATTATCGTCAAAGAGAACTTTTTTTGGAAGCCTTTTTGCAATTTTCAATAAATCCTAGTAAGACTTCCTGCAAGCGTAGGAACTAATAATTTTGATTGCTTCTTTCGAAATGGACTAAAATTACTAATGTGAAAAAGACCGAATTATGCATTTGGAAGTTTTTCAGTGACAAAATTTCGATCCATATGATCTATTGACTTGGGACGGAAGAAAGGAATGTTTTCATTTGTAATGCATCTAAAAAGGTAATTTAATTTAATAATGTGACGTTACTACAAACTGTACAATGGCAACTTTGTAGTTTATTTCGCTACAAAAACTGCTGAATATCATTCAGGTGGCATGAGAAGATCGTGAACAGGAAGCAATTCTTGAAACTTTTGGCAGAATGAAGTAATAAGGAATCATTCGGTGTAAGAGAAAAAGCAAATTAGAATGTAAAAAAAAAGTTTAAGAAAAGCAGCTGCCTTGGGTAATGTCACAGAATATAGAGAATATTGAAAGAAATACCTGAACTCAACAATATTATTAAATAGCAAAGTTTCTCTACAAGCAAATGACAAAAAAATAAAATTTCCGGACGCGATATTATGATTTTCTTGGGGAGTACAAATTCATGCACTTCGTGAATTTGTTTCGCTTTTAGATGATTACTAGCTACTGAGGTTCCGCTGGTGAACTGAGGATTCCAAAATGTAGTGAGATAAAGGAACTTGGAGCACTTGATATAGTTTAAATTTAAAGAGGAACTATAACTTAATATAAAACTGGCTGTATTTTCTGCAGAACTCGTCTGAATTCCTTTCATGAAAGGTTAGTATCTGATAATTCGGTTGCAATATGAAAGAGTAAAACTCTAATAGCATAATAAGTAGTGAGAAAGAAGGGAAGACTTTGAGAAAATAAAGTAATCGAGAGTTGCAAATGAGAAATTTAGGAAGTTAAGGGTGCTATTCTATTTATATTATACAAATAAAGTATCTAGAACTTCTTAACACTTATTTTCTCGCTACTCTTTATTATACGCTGTGCAGTAAATAAAAGAAACCAAAAAGAAGAAATGAGCTCTGTCGTCATTAAAGCAAAATAAAAAGGTCTCAAGATGGAAGTGATTCCATAAAAATAAGATTAAAATTATTATAATACTACTATTTACTGAATGGGTATTATTGAAAGGAAGATAGATAATACCATCTGCAGGACAAGGTTGATATGTTAAGAGTGACTTCTTCGAGCTTTGCCATTTCCATGGCCTCTTTTTACAATCCATAAGTTGGAAATTCTTCGTTAAACATAGACGCACGTCAGCTAATAACCAACTTTTGGTCTGCAAAGTACAAATCTTAAATGCAAGAAAGCAACGGCTATTAGGAAGATGACAAACTATTAAGCAAACTATAGATAAATACCTCCTTATCTTGTAAGCAATGAAATTCCACATGTTTTCCATAAGCGGATCTTAGACTCTGGTGTAATAATAACCAGTCATATAACTTTTTCTCTGATGGGATAATTCCTTGCTTTTCCAACGTACTATAAACTTTAATTTAAATTCAGAATTGTGTAACTGAAAAGAAAAAAATTCAATAAAAACATGTTTTTACAGATTTTTCAAATATTAATAAGTTGGATAAAGCAGAAAATTATGAATTTTATGGATGCTCTAAGAATTTTTTTTACGATCGTTTATCACATTTTTGTTTCCGAGTTCAATTATAACTATACGCAACAGAGGTCTTCAATAAAAAAATAAATAAATACAAATTAAACAGCAATGCGATTTAGCTAAAAACCTGAGTGAATGGATTTCAATCTCATCAAAATCACCGACGAACAATGATACTGCCCTATGAGTGAAAGTCAAAAAAATGGTACCCGAAGATATTAAACTGTTCATAGAGAGCGAGAGATCTGTTGAAATACTTCAATTCATCATCGACTTCTTCCACAGTCCCTGCACATGTTCCATGCTTTTCCCATTCATGTTTCCTGGAATGATGCCATTTACTAAACCCGAAAAATCATCGACTACAAAATATTCGAAATATTCGTCAAGTCTTTTGTTGTCACTGTCTTGAAAAGAAGCTTTGAAACGAAAAAATCGAAAATCAGAATTCCTCAACGTAAAATATCCAACGTTAATTATTAAATCTGCTATTTTCCGTAATAAAAATATTTGGTTTTACCACAGCGACGACACGGATTGCAACACAAGCAAATTTGGCCACTTTCTTTCCAATTCCTGTTGAATTGGGAGAAGTTTGGATAATACAAATCTCTTCGTCTTGTCAACACAGAATTGCGGGAAAGACCCATCGTTACGATCTGGCCTTAAAATCATGAAAACTCAAAATTAAGATATCTAGAGACAACTGTGGCAGAATTCAAAATGAAGGCTTATAAAGGGAAAATAGACTGGCTCATTTTCATAATTTATAAAAAACTTTCCTCAAGATCTTCGAGATTCACTACATTTGAAGAAGCCAAAACTTGAGCCGCAAATTTTGTCGTGGAGCTTTCTAGATATGAGAATTTGAAAAAAAAAACCCAAACTCCAGATTTTCCAGACCTACCACAATCCATGAATTGTCCATGAGAAAGTATTGACAGGTACTTTGCAAAAATTAGTCGTCTCCTCGGCAACAAATCTAGTAGGTGCGTTATAGGCACGACAAACAGATGTTGGGTAAATTAAAGTTAGCTCGAAATAATCGAAATTACCAACTTTTTTAATATCCATATGCGCCAGTACCGCTGTTGCTAGCAACAAAGTCAATATGTTCATTTCAATCTGCGAATAAATTCACCTCAAATCGAGAAAAATCCTGGAATTTCGGTTTGGAGGCAATAATATGAATTTTGGGGCAGTTTTCTACTCAGTATATCGCGCGCCAAACTTTTCCCCTGACCAGTTACATTCACAGGTCGCAAATACGACTTTTTTCATTTCCACTAGTCAAAACTAAAAAAGCTTTGACTCCAAATATTGAGATGGTAAGCATACGTGTATTTCATGTTCTGATTATCCAAAAAATTTCTATATTTAAGGGATACAAAAGCTAGACATGAACAACGACAGAAATATATTCCTGAACCATTTCCCAGTCATTTTTCTGTAGCCAAAAAGTTGTCCTAGGAACACATCTGTGATTAATTATCAAAAATTTTTGGGTCTTTTATTATAGCAACATAACTGAAATATAACTGAAATAGGGAAGCACAGTGCAGAAATTATGAGCCTGAAAAACTTATTACTCAAAATTTCACTGAGGTATCTCGCATTAGACGGATGCCGAGAAAAAGTTAAACAATTTTGCGCATATTCCAGTGAACTATATAGAGATGTGGATATACAGAAATTTCAACTTAAATTAAACAGAAAGTGGAATAAATCATTGGATATATTTGTCAACATAACAACAACGTAGACTAGTTTTGACAAAACTGCTCATCGGAAATGAAAAGGGCTATATGATATCTATAAACTTACATCAACCCTCTTCTATTCTATCAATTTCGACATGTAAAGGAAGAAACTCGATTTTCAAGGAGAAATTATAACTGGACTACATAACTCCCTTTCCCTTTTCAAGGAGAAATTATAACTGGACTACATAATTTTCATGTCAACAACACACAAGACAAATGAAAGCAAATGCACACTTGGCAGTAAGTATGAAAATTTAAAGATTGGTTTTACTGATAACAGTTCCCATAATGCTTTAAACATGGGGCCAATGTCATAATCGATATAATGCTATGGCGTAGTACCAAGTCATCAATAAACAACTATGCAGTTTGTGTGTGGAAGCGATACTTATCTTTGTTATCATTTTTACAACAAATGGTATAGAAAATGCTAAACAAAAGCTAAAAATCAATCATAAATTTTAGCTAAAACAATCAACCATAAATTCTATGGAATGAATTGTTTAAAATAATGACAACGAAATTTATGAATGACAACATTAACAGCATTTGATGAATTAAAATGCATAAACTGATATTTCTACACTCCATCATTCCACGATGAAATTCCGCTGATAAATTAAAAGTTTTGCATGAAAAAAAAAAAGACAAACAGAAAATAACTCATCTGCTCTACCCATATCTCGACTATCTGCTGAAACTTTATAGCTAATAAACTTGGAAAAAGGTGAATCACAAGAGGTAGAACAGGAGAGGTAACATTCTATCCTTACCAAATGTTCGTCATTCCCTCACAACTCACTTATAGACAACTTTAGAAACTTTACTGCAATTAAACATCTGTCTAGGAGAATCTTACATTTCTGAATCCTTACAAATCGCGAACCGTACAAAATAAGAAATGATGCAATAATTATAAAAAACATTTGAGAATTGGTGATATAATGGAAATTCAGTTAAATGAACGTCGCAGTTTTGATGACAAGTAAAAAAGGCAACATTAAAGAGCAAGCTCAGATGCACTGGTAAACGACAGAAAACTGAACAATCTGCGATTGTGGTAAAAGCGGAATGATTTGCAAAAACTGACAATGAGCTTTTCAGAAAGTACACTTCGCAAAATTATTTGCTTCCCATGATTTTACTGTTGAATGACTTAATTTAACTTCAATGATTACCAAACTAGTTTGTTCTTTGCACAGAAATAAATTTTTAATGTGAAGCATGAATATGCCTGACTTTGTCATGACTTGTGTAAGGACTTGAATGGATTGTTCAGTCATAGCTTCTTTTCGTTACTTCAAATTTTCAGAACATTCTTATGATGATCTAGAACAGTTTACAATTTCATAAAACACCAAATATTTCAGCTTCAGTACCACAACAAAAAAAGGAAAAATTCTTTTTCTACAACTAAATGCACTAAGCATTCAAGTTTATTTGAATAAATAGAGAGAGAAATTTAATAAGAGTGAAAATCATAAAAAGGAACAGTAGCTGACCGTAGTTATGATTTCTTAGTGAAGAGAATATGATAACGGAAGAGATATGAACTGCCAGTGAAAACAACATCGATGCACTTAAATTCTCCATATTTGTTCCAAAAGTGACCCTATCGTGAACTGGATTCGATCTATAGCGTGCGCAAAAAATAAACTTTTCAGAAATCTTTGAAGAGAAAGGAGATTTAACAGTAGGAAGTAAAGAAATGGTACGAAGAAAACTTTCTGCTTTGTACAACTGACAGAATTTGGGGATGAAAAAGTTCATATGACTAAATGAAAACGCTTTCATTTTTCATCACTTTTTTTTCATCAAAACCCAATGATAGTCCCCTCATGACTTAATTTATGCAGGTTCTATTACTTCTAGTACCATACTATTCCATCCAATGCCTTTTCTGCTTTCCGAAATATAAAAAATAAAATGAGAAGTAAAAGTCCATAGCTACCTGGAATGCATGCTACGGAACAGTGAAAATGTGATGGGAACATTATATATTACTGACTAACACTCCTCTCATCACTTTCATTTTCAGGATTTACATAACTGAAAATAGAAGATAAAGAAATAACTGGAATACAAGTAACACAAACAGAACTGAGAAATAATGTCAATACTGACCAACAATAAATTGCACTGCGGTATAATTGCAGTGCGGTATAGCAAACGAAATCGCAAAACATATCATCATCAAAAGTCTATTTTAACATAGACCTGGAGAGAAAAAAAAATGAAAGGAAGAGCATCATTTTCTACCTTTTTTGCAAACACAGTTCGGAACGTAAAGCCTCGATAATTCCATTCTTCGCTTTATTTATTTCTTGTCTTAGTTCGCTTAAAATTTCTTCCTTCCATTTCTCTAGAGTTTCCACTGTTATAGCAGCACCATGACCTGCATTTCGTGACTCCTCTTGATTCAACGAGTTTGAGCTTGGCAATCTGAAAACCAGTTGAATCAACTGTGTTTGTAATGAAAAGATCCGAACATGCTAGGTAACCGACGAAGACACGTTATTCGATAAATCACGAGCCATTTTAAAGAAAATTTAACCAGTGTCTGAAAAGATACTATACTCTGCAAGGGGATTAGAAGTAGGAGATAATACAATACAAAGAAGTTTGGTAACTGTACTCAGTGCGCAACATTTCTTTTTCAGTAGATTAACGAAAATATCCGAACGAAATCTTTGTATGCTACACTGACAAAGATGTTCTAATCTCTAAGGTTAGGTTTTGTAAATATTGTAAACAATCCGGTTTTTTCTGAGTATTTGTAATTTTTGGATGTAGAAAAACACAAAGTTCAAGGAACACAAAGTTGCGGAAGTTCACAAACTGACTTTCTATTTCTGTCTTTTTTTTACGCTTAAAATATATGGTTACTTTAACGATGACTGCTTACTTGCGATTTACTTTTGGAGAATCAGTATTATTTGCAGTGCCATTAACTTGCTTCTCCCGCGGGCGGCGTATAGTCCCATTGCCAACGGCATTTGTTGAGGATGCTGTATCACTTCCTAAAATGAATCAGTTGTTACATATTCTGTTCCACTTCCCTACCAGAGAATCATAAAACGCATTGTTTTTTCTCTATGCTTACATGGAAATACGAACCGATAGAACGAGAATCACTGTTATCACACTGATTTTTGCGCTTGCTGAGAGTTGCTTCCAGCTCCGATAATAAATTACTGCCGCCTAAAAAAATGCACTTGGCGCTGCAAAAAAATTTAAAAAACAAATAAAACAAATATTATCAGGGTTACAATAAGGTTATAATCAATCACATTTATAAAGTGCTAAAAGTGTAACTTCATGCTTTTAAGCTGTCTTTCAACACGGTGAGGAATTGAAATGACAGAAAGTGATTGAAACAACTGCACAGCAAAATATGGATATCCATGTACAAGTAACAATCAAGGATTTTGTTTTTCTACCGAATTCTTCAATTTTAAAATTGAATTTTGAATTGAAATATTGAAAATACCGGAAGTTGCTGAATTCGATGATGGTGGTGCACTGACTTTCCGAAGTTGTACTTTTTTCAACTGATCCGCAATAGAGCTGCCACTTCCTTTGCCCAATGACAGAGAAGATGGAGGTGGCGGCGGTGGTGGCGCTGGTGGTGCATTTGAGGAAATTGTTGCTGCAAAGAAAAAGAGTTGGAAATGTATAAAGTTGGCTAAGACACGGAAGCCACAAAATATGAGATGAACACTTCACAAATTCAAGAAAATGAACTAACCAACATTGGCAGAACTGATGGAAAGTGACGGCGTGGAATTATAATTGCTTGCAATAGATGTAGCTGGAGGAGGTCGAACAGAACTACTGGCAGGGCAGTTATTATTAGAAGTTGCATAAATTGCAGGAGGTAGTGAGGAACCATTGGAAGAACTCGATGAACCTTGTGAAGCACGCCGTTGTACATTATATACCATCATCGTTGTTGCAGCTCCGGTAGCACTGGCTGAACTTTGCACCGACTGTGATGATTTTCTACAATTAAATCAGTTCCTTGTTTTCATCTTGTTAACTTCCAGTTAAAATAGATCTTACTATGAAGTAGTAATTCCTCAATTTTCATTAAGTCAATTGAAAAAATAGAAAAAAAATTGATGATAGTTTCCCTCTCCTAGCTTTATTAGTCATTATGAACGCAACAAGGCGATTTTCACAAAAAAGCAGCTACTAAAAATATAGACCGAATAAACCAGGAAACCCTTAAACAGCTATTCGGTTAACACATGTGTCTTTTTACCTTTTCGAATTGAATGAAAGCCTGAAGCCCATAAATTTACACTGTCCACGAAAGGCAATAATTTCAGCGGTCAGTAAAACAGCTTATCAAGACAAGCAGCTGGCCAGTTTCCGATAGAACGAAATATTATTAGTCATCCAACACAGCACACATCATTAATGAAAATTATCCCTCATAACGATAAAAATTTCGAAATATAAAACAAATGCGACAAGACGATCAAGTTGGATGCAGAGTAACCCTAAGACTAGAAAAAATGTTCATTCTCTGCTTTACTACTACTTCTAACTAACTCACTCAGTCCTCAGGTTTAAAATCATCAACCTTACGACTGTATAAGAACGTTATGCCAAATAACTAATGTGTCTAGATTAGACGCAAACGTAAGAAGAATTTCAATTGCCTTCATACAAATTTTTTAAAAAAAAGAAGACATTGTGCCAACCTTATATTTTAAACTAACAACTAACAAAAATTGTCCTGAAATTCCAAAAACAGGAAAGAACAAAATTCATAAAAATAAGCATACGCAATACCACTACCGTAAATTATACTGGCTTTACCTTCTGCTTGATACCCGGAACAAAATTAAAAAAATCACCTTCAAACCATTCTTGAATTATCTTCGCTATTAATTGGAAAGGAACTATCGATACTAAAGTTAGTAACTGCAAAAGTAATAAGTGAAAGACTATAGAAAGAACTATGGGCTAAAACATCGAAAAATAAGTCTCAAAAGATCAGGGGAACGTAGAGTCCTTACATCTGTTTGTTTGTATTTCGTTATATTAATGAAGATAGCGCGTTGAAGGTACAGCACCAACAATAAACTGAATTAAACTGATGCAAATATGTTGAAAGCAAAAGCTAAATCAGAAGCAACTTTTTGAAACCAAGTAAAATTGGAAAGTTATGATAAATGGATCAAAATAAATCTGGCTCAAAATGCCTCAAATAACATGTGTGACAGTAAAGGTTAGGCTGAAATCTAGAATTTGTCAATATGAATTCAATCAAAATATAAATTCAACCATTGATGTAGTAAAAAATGGAACCGGTAGAAAAGAAATTGAAAAGTTGCGTCCATTAAGATAAGCTTTAATCCGAACAATTTGGTTCAGTTATGTCCATTAAGATAAGTTCTCGTTCGAACAATTTAGCTCTGCTTTCTTCCTCGTAAATATAAATGTAAAAATCTTCTAGCCTAGCTGACTGATTCTTTCTTTGTTCTAAGCAGATATAGCATCAAAGATTACAAAAGTTTGAAATGGTTACATTTCTTGTTTTCGTTATGTTAGTGTTCAGTGTTTGCCCTCATCATGGTTCTGGATTAACGATTGCGATAAATGTTATCAGTTGAGCCAAACAATAAAAAATAACCTATTCGAAAAAAAGAAAAATTAATTCTACCCATCCCCTGGTATACAATTATTTGATATTCTAACCACAGAAAGTTAACTATAAAAGCCATTCAACGCCAGTATTCATCGTTAAAGTTAACGCCGATTCGAACTGAGAAAAATCTGTAGGAAATACACTATTAAGATATGGGAAAATGCGCTATTAAAAGGTAGAAAATTTGTTTTTGCTCATTGTGAGTTATTTTATGATTCGATTGTCCGCACTCAAAACCTAACCAAATTGAAGGCGTTGTTGTCTTTATGCCAAAATACTCTCTGTTCCGTAAAGAGAATCCTACTTTGACAACTATTATGTCGCTCAAAATAACAACAGACAAGGAAATTGCCACAATATATATACCAAAAAAGATTTGTAAAAAAATATTCAAAACAGAACTATCTCGAGAGCTTTTTTTTCGAGAAAAGAACAACATGTTACATACAACATGTTACATACATAAGTATTGGATGAATAGCACTAAATCCTGTGACGCATATTTCATGCAATACTTCAGGATAACCTCCAACTTTTCCAGAACAATTCAATTTTTTAAATGGATTTTTTGTCCATTACTGACTATGTTGACTAAATTTAAACTTGTTTAGCCAGGACAACAGTTCTAGATTACTGAATCCAGCTCTTGATATCACATCACAATCAACTTTTCCGGATGACCACAATAGTCATCACAAAAATGTGACCATTATAATTATCGTCATATCGGGATAAAAATATCACATTTCCTACGTGACATCTAAAAAAAAAAGTGTGCAAAAAGATTTTCCTATCTGATAATAAAAAAACTGCATGAGACAACAAAAAAATTTGCATGAGCTCTATTTTTCCTGAATCATCCATTTTTCAGAAAGAGATAAAATTTCGAGATTTCGACGGTCTGGGAATGTAACGAAACATTGCATCAGTATTATATCTTCCATTTCAACCAAAATATTTCAGTAAAATTTTTTTCCTCCATTAAGAAATGGAAAATCTTTTGAAGTGCAACAGTATAATTGCGGCAATGTCCTTGAAAGTTCTGCAACACAAATATTTCTCCTTTTCCTCCCTCTATCAATATCAGTTTTACTTCCATACTGCAATGAAAGTTATAGCATTAGCAACAGCTACAGCAATAACAGCACAATGCGTCTCTCGGAATATTTGTCGTTTTCAAGCTTTTATGTTATAGCTTCCGGAAGATGATTGAATTCTGCCACTGGCAAACAAAAAATTATTCCTTCTACTTACGCCAAATGCTTCCATCTTTTCTGACATTTGCCACGACGTGTGCAACAAAGGATGAAATGCGTAATGCATTATTTGTTCCACTTATAGTTCAAAAACTAACTATGAATAAATAATTGAAGTCCATAACGATAAAATGTATCGAGTAATTCTAATTTAGAATCACATATTCTATTGAATTCAAAATAACGAGAAGTTCAAAACATGTAGTATCGTCAAGAGTTGTATTTATCACATGTTCAATTTACTAATTTTGAGAATCTTGACATTATAGTACTTAGGCCTATTGAAATCCAATTCAGACTAGTCACAAAACACTACAAGACACTTCAGTAAAATATAGTGACAAGATATATGAAAGAATCAAAATTATTTCAAACAAGTAAAATTCTGTTAAGTTTTGTGATTTCGAACAGAAGGTTACTGATATCACTTAAATTCCCTTCAAAAATTAACTACCCTGGTAGTCAGTATACGAATATGGTTCTGATTTTGTATCAAAATTCATTGCTGCGTAAGAAAGTTAATATTTTCAGAAGACATATTCTGAAATGTCTCTTTTAACTCAGAATTTGTTAAGTTCCTCACTCTCCTTCAGATTCATTCCAAATCTTGAAAAAAAATTTAACCGGAAGTTGTTCATATTTTGCGCCAGCGAACCGCCACCAGAACATAAACTTTCATCATCAGCGCCTCGAAATGATGGTGAACTGTATGTATTATGATGTAATTGATGCGGCTCTTGGTAGATAGTATTCGAGAAACCCAAATCACTGCCTGAAATCCATAAATTAAGTACTGAAAGTTTCGGTCATTCGATGACCACTGCTATGCATCACAAATATTACATCTGAACCTCAAAGATGAATGACAGAAATGTTCTACGGTAAAGTAGGATAAATGATAAGTACTGGTAAAAAAGAGAATGTTCCGAAGAGCTACCAACTGGCTTTCAAAAGATTTGCTATATCTGACAAAAGGTAAACAGCTTGTATTCGCAACCGAATCTTTGATTTTCATAGAAAGTGTCATATGCCTTAATGCTGACTAATTAAAAAAAAAAAACTCTACGAATACTACTCTAGGCAGCAGTCAGAAACACCTTAAATAAAATGAATCGAAAATCTGTAAAGATGCACAAATTTTACGACAAAAAATAACTTGTACCCTTGAAATTTTTTTCAAGACCTTACCATTCTGATAATCACTACTCGATGTTAATATCGACAGCACTTGCGTCATAACTTTGACGAAAAGACGAGCATCTTCTTCCTTCATGAAACTTAGGCCATAAACCTGAAACAAATATTACTTTATATCAGTATTATTATAGAAATCTCTAAACATTAACACGCTCATTTACAAAAAGCTACACCGAGTCCAATACATAAGAGATAAATAAATTTTGGAACGAAAGAAATCACTTTTCTTTTTTCATCTCTCCACTGATGAAACGTTGGTGTCGCTGGCTTGTACCTCAATCTCTCGTAAATATTGCAATTAAGGATCCACTGTCCGTCCTAAAACATTCAAATCGTTCCATATTAAAATTTAAACCCATTCAAATTAATTCCGTTGAATAAGTACACGTTTCTCACAATTTCTTGTAAAGGACTATAAATTATCAATGAAAGCAATTACTAAATCTAAAAAAAAAGAATTTTCAACAGTCTAATATTGATCAAATGTATGGAAAAATAACTCAAAATTTACCAGCCAACGAGTGCCCACAATACGAAACGCGTTGGTCTGAACATTGTGTAATATTTGCACCTGTGATCGGACTGCTTCACTAGACCCGTCAGGTGAGAGCCACTGTTTCGTGGCATCATCGTACATCATCACATCTGCCATTGCCACTGCTACTGTCGACTCTCTGAAAATTTTACATCCGAATATGTTAAGAAATAGCATTATAATATCAAATTAAACATTCTAATTCTAATTGCTAATCTACCATTAAATCAACCAGAATCAGAACAACTATAGTTTGAAACTAGAGAAAAATTTTTTTTTTAATCAGTGAATCCGTGTATCTCTTTTCCACGCACACTGCATCTTAAAAGATAAAAATTACGATTAGTAGACGAAAATGAAGTTATAAAACATACTCACATGTTTCACTTCATATTTTACATTCCTCCCTCTCTCCTATCAACTTGTATTTATCAACAACAACACAGACAAACATTCACCGATACCTCGCATGAATAGCTCCTCCTCGAATAGCGAAGAATGAAAAGATTTAAAACAGGTGAAGGTGAGAAAACCTCGAAACATTCTTGCTACATCAACACATCAATAATTCAAGGATCACTGCTGACAGATAATCTTAGGATGGGTAATCATCGTAACACCACAAATAAATACGCAAATCAGAGAGGATACGCAAAGACACCGCAATCAAATAGGCAGAAAGTGTAAAAACCTTCCCACCTAATATATTTTAAAATCTGCCTATGCAGAATAAAATAAAATAGGACAAGGAATGAAATTTAGTGACTAAAAGTAAAGAATTATATACTGGATCACATCATAAATAGTGATTATATGAGATGAATTGAATCTATAAATAATTAATAAATTGAACTGGAAATCCTAGATCCTACGGAATTGTATTACGACTATAGTTGAAATTTCACACTATAAATTAAATGATAATATAGAACAAAGCAAATAAGGTAAAAATTAACGGTTAAATCTAATCAGTAAAATGAAACCGTTTCAATAGTTATGCTCAAAGAATCAATTAAACGGAAAACTTACAAAACTCCTTAGGTAAATGGGATAAAAATATAATTCAAGGATGGGACAATATTAGATAAAGTCATCTAACTTGCCACTGTAACTGAATTACTAATCCCAAAGTCTTTCATTTCTTCTCATCAAATATATAATTAAGGAGGGAATTTTTCGAGCGTACTTCCAGCAATCAATCAACATCTTCAATTAGCTTAATCTATATCCACAATCCCTAATTTAATTAATCACTCTCTAGCTCATTAATGTTAAATGCATTTTCACCCAGGTATCAGTAATTGCTATACTATACCAAATGGTTTAATGCCAAGTTATGGACATATAAAAATTCATTTTTTTAGACACATTTTTTAGACACATAAAGTTAGGCTAGCAGATGAAATTCCAAAGTACAACTTATTTATAAAACATATGTCCTTTAGTATATTAACCTCGAGTAATATATACATTCCTTTCAGGGAAGCTCAGCTGGTCTCTGTGTTAACAAAGAATAAGCTAACCTTTACTCATCCGCACCTCAATGTAATGTCCTCGTAGACATATGCACGACCATTTTTCAGCAATTAGGACGTATAGCAAAAAGACATGAAACTATGGAAATAGACCGGATTTTTTAAAATCCGTTCCTCAGTATCTCCTTTTGAAATCACTTTCCATAATATAAGGAAAATGTCCTCCAAATAAAAAAAAAAGGAAAGAAAACAGTGTGACATTTACCCTTTCCTGAGGACAAATTTAAATAACAGTTGAATATAGGATACCCTTATTCTCAGTTCCCATAAAGAATCATTTTTCGAACACTATTTTCTCACGACAGAAATTTTTATAGAAACTTGTCATTATTTTCTGCATTATTCTGTTTCAGTGAGACATAACAATTACTTCCTTTATAGTTTTAAAAGTAATTTCATAGAAAGTTAAGTTTAAAACCCATATAATGCCACGTATTTTATAAATTAAACCTTGTAAGCTTTATGCTACCAATTGAAAATCTCTGTCACCCTTACATAAACAGAAGTTATCATTCCTAACACATTAATTTTCCGATAATAGCCTACAACATGCTGCTGCATCCGTAGTCTGACCAGCCAAACAGTAAAATTCTGAGTTTGTTTTTCCGCTATGCTTAACAATTTCTCATTTCTCCAGATCTCTCCCTTATTTATGCATTGTTCAGTTATCCTGGATAACCATACAAGTACAAGTTGGCAGCCCAGATCCCAACGAACACAAATCTCGAGAAAACTACCATGCAGAACACGGAATTCTCCAACTTATTGGATTATTAAACTCATCACTCTTGTGAATTACAACTTAGCCTGCCTCTATACACCTACTGATTGGTCTTATTCAAACAATGCTATAAAACTGTAAACAAGTATTTCATGAAACAAAGGAAATGAGAGAATGAGAGATTTACCGAAAGCGAAAATCGAGTGAACTTTTTCACTTGTCATTTCGGACTATTGTATATTTCCGACACTTTTTTCTTACAAAATGAATCATTTGCTCAACAATCAGTTCTTCCACTCATTTCGGCCCAAATATGATTCCATTGTAACCGCCTACAGTCCACAGCCACCATTCACCCGTCTAATGCTGATTGAATTTTCTAAATTAGCTTCGAGCATATGCCATCTGTTTGCTTCTCGTTAATAAAACTACTGAGTATTCGAAATATCTTTTTTCCCGAGACAATAATCAATGCAATACTACAAGACGGAATTGCCTACGGGCGTGCAAAATGGTCAGAACGTCAGACGCAATTATGCAAAGCTTCAGGATAACACAACGAAGGTTGAAGGAAAAATATAGACACATGAAGACAAACAACACAAACATGTGGATAGACTGACACATACAAAGGTTGGAATAATGAGTATGCAGAAAGATTATCATTCTTCCTTTTCGTTCTTTCATATTTGCATAAATAGAAATTATCGAACCAACGCAAAACAGTTTGAATTATCAACTTATATTTTTAATCCAAAAGCAACACAAACGTGTGGATAGACCGACACATACAGAGGTTGGAATAATGAGTATGCAGAAAGAAAACTGAGACAGTAGAGTAACATCGAACCTATGGTTATGATCATTTGAAGAATTCTGACAAAAAAAACTTCTCATAAGCATAAAAGAATATGGTCATTAACAAGATATGGGAAACTGCATAATATAAAAAAAATTTTTTTTTAGCTATAAAATCAAAAATTTTCGGAACTTTTTCGTCATTTTTAACTTCTAAATTTGTGACAGTGACATGACGCAGTATTAAATCCTATCTTTGCCTTACTTCTAAACCGATGAAGAGAGAAACAGACAAAAAAATTCAGGTCAGTACACTAAATTTCTGTTCTCTTGTCGCTCAATGCTGAATAATACTCAATACTGAATAATCAATACTCAATACTGAATAATCCGAAACCAATTAATTTATATATTGATAATAGTTGGATATTCAGTGTAGCATTTTCACGCATTCATCTTCAAGACTGCTTCTATCACTACATGATCCGCTAAAAAATGTATTTCTTCCTTATTTAGCAAGAATAAGTTAATCAGTTAAGAAGTGAATAGCATTACTAGCAAGTATTTTAGTTTCAGTATTTGAAGAAATGATAAAAATGAATCCCATTATGACTAAATTGTTCTCTGATAGGATATAAGTTTGTTTTCATAAAATTCCGACTTGAAATGTTTAAAAGGGATTGATTAATGGGATTACACTCAAAATTTTGCGAATATATAGAACAATTAAATTAAATTTAGGTGGAAAACTCTCGTAATTTATGGGTTGTTATTTCTGGGACTGATCTGGCTTGATGAAAAAAATGCTGACATTCCTTATGAGCAGTTAATCTTCTCCAGATATTACCCATAATGAAAAGTAGAGAACTACAATTCTGTTAATATTCCGGAAAGTTGACAAAAGATTTGAAAACCTGCACGGAAAGGATAAATGACCCTGAATCCTAAGATTTATTTTCGAAAATCCGCTATCTGCTATCACTGAAAATATTGCCCCCAAAAGCAGTAATCGGAATGCTGTTTTCCGCAGATTTCAGATGTAAACAATTTTAAAGAAACTTCCTAAAATCAGAACTTCGAAATAACTTTAAAGGAAAGTAAAAATATGCAAACTTACTCCATAATTCCAATTTTGGAAGTTATCGATTCGTGTAAACGATTCTCGCAGAACTCGCAGTAAGTAAAGCCAATTTTGAATAAATAAATAAATAAACAAATAAATTATGCAATACAGGATGGAATGAGTCTCTTCCCTTGTTCACTTCTGGGTTTTTCACTTTCTTTCCTTCCTTCGCGAGAATCAACAAAACACCGAAATAGATGCAGAAGGATGAGCACAAGGGGTCGTCCTATTCAGAGAAATAGCGTTCAAAATCGTTTAAAACGAAACATTATCACTTCCACCGTCGTCACCATAACCTACAGGAACATAGTTGTTGTCACCTGACAGGATATCACTATTATTACTGTGGCAATCACTTACTGCTGTTGTTGGTTGTCAAATCAGTGTATCCATAATTATCGACAATAATAACAATAAGAGTAATATTAACGGCAGTAGCGCCCCACGCCTGTGTACCAGCACCTCAACGGCACAGTGTGTTGTCGTTAACAAGCAACACCAACAGTAACAAATATAAATTGAGCTATCAACACCCTCTAGGGACTTGCCGCCTGAAACTTAATGAAAACATTTGTGTGAAATTATTTCAAAGCACACATTTCATGGATCAACGCAAGTAGTACGTCTTGACTATATAAATGTACAAAGTCGGCAAAATGAATAGGAAGACAGTATTGTATTCTGTTTCTAATATACCATAAAGAAACATCACCGGGATTTTTCAATCTACACAGAACAAACAACAGAGAAAGCATTCCTCCTCCTCCTCCCTTCTTCTTCTTCTTCCTCTTTACCGAAAACTTTTTCACACATTTTGAACATCCCACTATTCTCACCCGCAAAGAATATATCAATTGGTGGAGCTGAATTATCAATATATAAGAAAACCGACATTTGACTACTATTTCAACGTGAAGATTTCTATAATGATAAGCGCTGCAAGCCAAGTCAGTTTTATGCGTTTTTAATCATTTCGTTACAGTTTTATTTACGACCACCACTGTATGCGTGAACCACGTGATACGTTATTAAAATGTATCTAAGGGAAAAAAAATTAGAGCCAAATGAAAAGTGTTTTGGAAGAACATCTTAACAAAAAGGTTGATCATATCTGAGCTAAGGGAGAGGGCAACTATCACCTGGCAAAACAATGTCATCAATGCAAGCAGTGAGTATCTTTTTTGTTCCGTCAACCATGCATCATAAATTTGGTGATTCTAAGCAGCCAAATATAGCACCAGACAGAATGTTTGTAATTGAAGAATGAAAAAACTTGATCTAAACGGAAACGGAATCTAAGTTACTTTTCACCGTTAACTTTTTGGTAATGAGGCAATTAATACTCTAATATAGAGCAGTTTTCTGGATGCAAATTTCGGAAAGAACGTAAAAATCATGAAAAAGAAAGAAGATGAACAATAGTAGCAAAACAAAGTGGAATACTTTTGCATCCGAAAATAAGCATTAAAAAATATTGAAAAATAGATTTGAAAGCCCTTCGCAATTAGGATATTAAAACGACCTGATAATTAGAAAGTTTCAAAATGGAATGGAAGCATACAGTAGCATAGCGGAGAGTGTTGTGGTGCTAAGGAATAAGCAATTCCATTTCCAGACTTTTTTTTTGTAGTCTTACTCTCTGTCCACAAATAGATATACATATATTGCAGCAAATCATGTAACTAGATGAACAAATTTGGCAAAGTTACTGGATCGATATGGCATATATCCAGAGGAAACAATGTTCCTAATTGGCTTAATTCTGAAGCACATGTAACTATCCTATAATTATCCATCTTTCACTTCATAATGAAACTTGTTATCGCATATTCACCCAATGACCTTACTTGCGATAGCAAGTAAGGTCATTGGGTGAATACCACAGCACTTATATTAAATACTTGATTCAGCACAAATGTCCACAAATTATCACTGTTGACAGAAAAAGAATTGTACAATAATTAAATCTGATTCAACAAAACAAAAAAAATACACCAATCCAGTGATATCTTACAGTCTCCTACACTCTAAGACACAGCACAGTCCTTTATTAAAACCTCCCAATTCACAAACCTTAATGATTCGAAGCAAGTCGAAAAAAATTAAGGATAGAGAAATCAAACGTAAAATAAAACATTGGGAGGACGACCGAACAGTACAAGTTCGATCAATCAGTCATTAAGGTTTTTTAATGTCTCTTAAGAAACTACTCTCAAAACTTTCTACAATTTCAACAAAACCTTAAAGAGAAAAATAGGGGGAAGAAGAGTAACTCAACAAATGCTCTTTCCAATATTGGAAAAGATTTGGCATGATAAATCAGTTCCCGTGACGAGTGACAAGATTTCTGAAAGAAATTAAACTGCAACTAATTCCATTTAAAATAAACCGGTTATCAATAAATCAATCGGTCTATTCCTTCATTACTTTTTTCACTGAACTGCAAGTTACATTTGCTAGCCGCAAAGCAATCATTCAGAACTTTTATTGTGTCTTCCAAACAAAAATAATCCATTTTTCTAGGGAAGTATAGAGGGCGAATAGAGCTATTAGACACCTGACGAGTTACGTCAAACTGCGGCTTTAAAAAAAATTTTTGAACTATCCAAAATACATAACCTTGATGCATTATTTATTGTGAAAAAAAAAGAAACAAAGCTATTCCTAGCCACATCATCTTTCAAAGGTTGCGTTAGATTTAACTGTTAGGAAATCTCATGTAATTAGCAAAATATCGATGGAAAAGGAGTAAATGAGAGAGAAATGGTACGAATTATTGAGCAGCACACAAATTAACGTAAACTGCCCATGACAATACAAAGTAGAAAAAAGAATAACAAATACAAATACGAACAATATAAAAAAGAAAGAAAGGAAATGTTATCTTCAAAGACACATACTACTAAATTTGTAGTAATGAATGAAACGACGGGATAGATGATAATGGATGGATGGGACGATTGTGAAGGGGGCGGTGGAAGTGCGAACTGACCGCACCCCGTACTAGCATCAATCACCCCATTTTAGTTTGCTGCATTCTGTTGTTGTTCGCATGAAATGCAGTTTGTGATTTCTAAAACTCGGCACTTCTGCAATGAAGCACTGGTTTGGTTCCTTCACAACACTACAGCTAATAATTCATCCTTCCCAGCCTCCCAAACCGCACAAAAACTTTATAATTGACAAATAAACTCTTCCAGAGAATGGTGAAGTTTTTACAGATTAACCTCTGTTGAGTGTTGTCTAATTGTGCTCTCAGATAATGCATTAAAATGGAAGCAAGAAAATATCAAACTAACAAACACTTTCCACTTTGTCTTCTTCCGTGGTTGACTGTATTTTGTATTCTTATACGAGGTATACGAAAGGATATAAGAGATATTTTATGCTATTATAAGATTCGCCAATCTATAACCAAAGAAAAGTTTGCTTTTTAATAAATCATATGAGGGAAGGACGTATATGAACAGACTTTATATGTAATAAAAAATAATGAAATAAATAAGGGGAAAAAAAGCGGTGTTCCCTCTCCTATGATAATATTGGATAAGATGGAAGATGTATGTTATCATGCTGTCATATTTTAGAGTCTGCCAAATTTACCTGATACGTTGTCATTGTTGTTTTATGAACAACAACGCATGTACGATTGTCACACCACTCTTCTGAAATGAAGTAATCTTTAACTCTCATGTCAGAGAAACAATAATTTACTGGATTTTATGGTCATAAAGAATGAAATATTATGGTGAAAAATTACAAATGGTTTAAAATCCTGTAAATTTTGAACAGTACCAAAGATTCATCACAGTGAAGAGCAAACAACTTTGCTTATTGGTGTGAACGGTTTTTTCAAGGTTCATGTTATTTAGCTTAAATTTTGAACAGTTACTGAATTTTTTTCAGGAAGAGACAGAACTGAAAGAGAAAGAAGACAATCTTTATATGAATTTTATGTTACAACTATTCAAGCCTACAATGTTGTGATGTGCAACGACTAAGTATCAATAAACGACTGCTAGTATAGAGGGAAAAGTAAAACATTTAATGTGTTAATTCCTTTTTTTAAAAACAAAAAGGAAAAAAAAGAAACTCCGAAAACAGATGAGAAAGAGTGGTGACAAAACGATGTTGTTAAAATGCTAAGGTGGAGATGAATAACTAAGACATTCAAACATCTCCATCATGAACAGAAATGCCAACCGAGAACAGTGAGGAATATCACGAACTGCGAACACTGCTCGATAACATGATGGTTATCTGGTCGAGATAAAATACCGACCTGTTTCACATTTATACAGCGATAAATGTTCCTTATAGTTCCACTCTTCCTTCCAAATTTAATGCTAATTTAATTTATAAAACTGTAGAGGAAATCGTTCATCCGAAGGTTTTTGTTTTTGAATTCCATTTTCTGCTCTTTCATCACGTTCAGTTTCGGTCATTGTCCTTGGTGTCCTTTTTCCCACTCATATCTTTTACTGTAAATCGCAACCAAGCATAACCATCAAAATCAGAAGCATAGAAGCGTATACAAAGACATACAAAGGTGTAGAATGGACACACGAAATCCCCATTATCGACCATTTCTATTTGACTAGGACTTGTTGTGTACCACGACCATTGCTGGCAATATGTTTTTAATAAAAAGTACTCTTAAACATCAGAAAACTTTAGCATCCACAGAATTATGAACTGCAACTAGAAGGAAAGGAAAGTGTAATCATGCATAAGATAGTATCTATCTACAATGTTAAACTGGCTGTTTGTGAAGTCATTCAACTGCAATAAATCTAAATTCCATTTCGTGCAATGTTTAGGAACTAAATAGTTTAAAAAAATATTAATACTGCGTATAAAAAATAGGATGATTAAATCATGTAGAAGTTTTGAAGATTTTTTTGTAACGATAGCCGTGAAGATGATGAAGAATGTCGCATCGTCTCCAGTTCAGTTTATTCCTGAACGCATTTCTAATTGAACGCTGAGCTACCCGTAAGAGAAGGAGGAAGGAAACATGAATAGCACCTCTTTGACTAGATTAGTGAAACAGCATGAGACTAAAATTA